CATTTGACGGGTCGCCAACAAGGTTTCTCGATAGCATCGTGGGAGTTCTAGGTCGTCCCATATGGATTCGGGCAAATTCCAAATGGCATAATGCTCTTTGGGAAGTATTGTGGAGACATATGGGTGATGATGATTGTCATCCCGCTGGTCATCTCCTCCTGATCGTAAATGATAAAGCACGGTCAAGGCGAGTTGTTGCTCTTGTGAAAGTGAGTTGTAGTATTCATTTCGAGAAATTTTAGTGACATTGTTAATGTCAGCGATGATCGTATCCTCGACTGGAACTTGTAGCAGTATATCTCCCGGTGACCGATCTACTATTCTGAGGCGAAAAATGTTTTCGATGGAGATGAAGAATGATTATAGAACACAATAATACAGTCGGTTGAGAGTGATGATGACAGCATACTGATAAGCGATAACCTTATTCTAATACCAGGTTCACATCATATGACAGCAGAATAGTATTACTCACGTTCGAATTCCTCTTCCAGTGTCTGGAAAGTTGTGGAGCTCCAAATCAAAGGGTTTCAGATATTTGTCAATAAGTAGTAGTCCATCATTCTTATTGTCAGTTCCACTATTATCACTCGAACTTGACGACGAAGAAGATAAGCTCAGTATTGAAAGACCTAGTAACCACCAATGGGGAGAAAATAGTGAAAGTAATATCATTGTCAATCAGATTGTAGCATCGATGCTGGCATATGGTCGCATGCGATGATCGCATACCGATATAGATTGAAGATGATCGACGGTGTCATTTCATCGGATGGAGGCCAGACAGCAAATTATTGGGTCGCTCTAGTCAAGGAGACGAAACCCAACGGATCCGCAATCGATAGGATATATGACCCGATCTTTTTTTAACGGTATATTTATTACTTCTGTGATGTCTCTCTCTGCGATACAAATCTATTGTAGCGGCGTCGTTTCGCCGTTTTTATTCCCTTATTCTCATTAAGAGGAGCCCATGCATTGAAATACCGATAGTCCATCGGAGGCTCATACT